AATGAAAGAGGGATTAAATATCATAGCAGCTTTAAGTACACACAGCAACGTTAGCTCGATGTTGTGGATAGCTTCAACATCTAATCATTACCAAAGTCATTACTCAAATCTGTCGCACCAGGGCTTGTGCTCTGGGCTGCAGTGGATAGTTTGACCAGGTGAGATGCGTTATTTGGGCCGATGTATGTAAATGAACCCATTCCTACATTCATCACTGGCTATTGGCTAAGGCACATTTACTCATGGATGAAACCTCACTGGTTATGTAGTCTCTGTCGGCCCTCATGGAAAGCCTCTTGTCCAGTAAAATGACTTGTTTAGACTAACTGTTATATAAATTTACATACATGTCTGCACACGTCTATTCTATCATTTCTAGAATAATCATTGAAGCTGTAAATGTGTTTTGGACAGAATCATGTTTTTTTTGTTTGGTGTTGCCTTGAGGGTTTTATGACTAGTTGCTTTGTGATCTTTTTAAAAGTCCATGTTGATTTATTGTTGTGTTGTATTATCATTTAAATGATCTAAGCAAAACAGTTTCAATCCTAACCAAAACCACTGAGCAACAAAACTACTTGGTTAGTTCACAGATGGATTTTTTAAGACCTCTAGCACTGAAATTGACTTTTCTTCTAGATCCATTGTAATGAGATGGAGGCATAAATCGAACCAAATATTCAGAATGGATTCTATTTTTTAGTCATTTGGGCAAACTGGAGCTTTGCTGTATTGTAGAAGCATAGTTCAAAAGTGTGTGGCTCTGTATAAAAAATATCATACGGTAGTGTTTTGTGCCTCTAATGACTTGTTCCCTTTTTCCAGTTCACCATCTGTCGGATACCACGGAGCCGGGAGGTGCATCAGTCTTGGGTTCCTCTGTTATCAGCACTCTGAACGCCCTGCGTATTCCTTCCCACTAGTTTTCAGACTCAGACCTGACATGGTAAGTGGACCTAGAGAGCAGTTAGTAGCTGTTTTTACACATTACTCTGTACTAGAACAGAACAAGATGTAATTCTACTACATCCTCCTGTCATTACAATTTGGAAATTGGAAAAAAAAGGATTTTATTATGAATCACTTCAGAGAGAGAAGAGAGAGAGAGAGAGAAGAGAGAGAGAGAGAGAGAGAGAGAGAGAGAGAGAGAGAGAGAGAGAGAGAGAGAGAGAGAGAGAGAGAGAGAGAGAGAGAAGAGAGAGAGAGAGAGAGAGAGAGAGAGAGAGAGAGAGAGATCTATATACAACATAATTTAATAAATGTCTTGGTAAACCTGCAATAAAGGTCTTGACATTTATAAAAATGCATTCAGCTGTACATGGAAGTGGACCAAGAACAATTGTACTAAAGAAGTTCTCATGGTTCCTGGAAAATAGTTGACCAATTTTCTAGTCATGGATAACGCATGAGGAAAAACTAAATGCCCTGGGAATCTTTGGCTATCCTGGAAAATTATTCAAACATTCTCCTTATTTCATAAAAAGAGACCTTGTCATCTGAAAGGGCTAAATCATAATCAGTTCATGTTAAGGATCATATCAAATAGTGAAGGTAGTTTAAGGACAGTGTTACCAATTGTCTACACACTGCAAACACCTCCAACTCACATCAGGAGCTCCTGCAGGACGGATTACATAAAGGTTACCTTATAACTGTAGTGGCCAAAACTTAAAATAATGTAAGAATACTACGTTTCAAATGTAAAAATATGAGGCTGGCTGCTAACTTATATTAGGTGTATAGAATAACTTTGTTGTTAATAATAACTTGTTTTAAACAATTAAATGATGTTAAATTGATTAGCATGTTTGGTCACAATGTGCACAATGCGTTCCTGTCATGGCAGCCATCAAAGCAGCTCAATTGTCACTGAAAATGTCTTCAAAAATGATCTACTGATGATCTACTTTTCGACAGTAGAGTGTGAACCCTGTGCAAACCTTGCACCAGCTGTCAGGTCTAATAAAAGGACAGGACACATACAATTTACAGGAAGTGGTTTGTGTTGGGCAGCTGTGCAAATCAGCTTTCAATGAAGACAAACACATCAACGATAGTGAGTGTGTGGTTGGAGATATCCCTCTGGACTCAGTCCATGCTTACACATTTCTCCTGTATCCACTGCGTTTGTCTAACAACTTGTTTTAGTGATTTAGAACAAGGTTTGGGAGTGAAGGTCGGCGTATCAAGTAAGTCACCTCCTCTAAGTCATGTCAGGCTTTTATTCTGATTTAAATGACTTTTTTTCTTGGCTGCTTAAGATCAATACGCTATCCCAAACAGTTGGAGAGAACAAATGATAGTGGATTTAATAGGGACAGCTTAACTGTATGTTTCCAGCAGACAGAGAGAGAATTGGTCAATCTGCCTAGATTCTGAAAGTGAAAGGTTTTCACTCAGTAACAGGAGAAGTATATCATAACTGAGCTTTGTAGCATTCAGATCAGATTATCTTTATGAAGTGTATACGATGCTCCTTTTTGTGGAACTCGAGTTATTTTTTTTCCACATCCATTTTTGTCTTACCTCATTCAAACACGGTTTCCTCATGTCGTATTACGCACGGCTTTAAATCATCTTTTGTTCACAAGAAGCGCAGTCTCAGAGTCATGTAGTCATTCACTCCCCAAACACATCAGAGAAAATACAATTCATCCAATCATAATCAGTGATCACGCTCCTGTCTCCCTGTGAATAAACATTGACGCACACATATCAAGCCTCCCACCAAGATGGTGCTTTAACACATCGCTTGTAGAAAATCCCGATTTCTTCCCATTGATCAGGAGAGAGTGGGGCGGTCCGACTCACCATCACGTTTATAGAAACAGGCAAAACAGTAGTAAGAGTAATGATAATTTCATATTCATCACATGAGGAAAAAACAGGAAATTTTGACAAAATCAGGAGACAAAAATCAAACATTTAACAAGACTATGCTGTTAGCTACTGTCCCCTCTCACTAATCAACAATGATCTTAAACTCATCACAAAAACAGTAGCAACAAGAATAGAGGCCGACATTCCAATGATAATTCACCCCGACCTAACAGGCTTTATCAAAAACAGACCGGCTTCAGATAACATCTGCAGGCTTTTCAATCGAATCAACATATCACAACAAAAACAACAAAACCATAATCGTGTATCATTAGATGCAGAAAAAGCTTTTGACACGGTTACTATTATTATTCAGAGCTTTACACAAGTTCAGTTTTGGAGAGTCGTTCATCCACTGGGTAAAAACACTTCACACCTCACCCAACACTGGAACTATTTCTTCAGTATAAAGTAGAATATGTTGGATTTGGCAGAGACTGAACGGTGAGTTTTTCTTCCGGTCATGTGTAAGCTGTATGTTTAACAGTTGAGTGCAGATTCTAGACCAGTGATTGTTCATTCGGTTTGTCTGTCCAGTCGAACCCTCCGGCGGGTCTGATTGGGAGTGGTGGTTTGAAACAAAGCGGGGACTTGCGTGCCGGTGTAGTCATGCAAGGAATGTTCCAGTAGGGCCTATGACTTGCCTATGCCTTTGCTTATTTCATGCGCCCCATGTACGGAGGCTATAGTCCCCATCACAGCGGCTGTGGGTTAAAATCCCACCTCGGCCCTTTGCTGCATGTCGTCCCCCACTCTCTCCTTCTCAACAGCTGTCCTATCCAATAAAGACAAAAAGGCCCAAAAAATGACTTTTAAAAAATGTGTTCCATGGAAAAGAGTTTGCTTGAAGAGATCAATTTGAAGCAGGGTATCATGAACAATAAAGATGCATTGTAAAAATCTACTTACTGTTAAACATGTGTTTATATGCAGCCACCAAACTACGTTCTGTCTATTGTTGAGCCCAACTGTTCTACTGTGTGAATGCAGAGTGCAGGGCAACGCAGTTTCCAGAGCATTCTGGAGAGAGTGTAAGAGTGTCGCTGTCTGTACTGTGGACTGTATGATGACTTCTCCAGACTCGAAAGCAGTTCTGTCTGGTTTTCTATTAACCCAAACCCCTTCAACTCCCCGAGCCTCTTTGAGCTCTTAGGCTTTTTCCATCCAAGTCAGTTGCTTATAACTCACACACATAATGCCGGTGTCTGTGCTCTTCACCTCTTGAATCTACCAGACCTTGTATTTGACAGATTTCTTCTCTCTGAGTGTTCTGCAACAGCTCAGCTCAGCTCAGCTCAGCGCTGTTTAGCTTAATGAATACATCACTCTCAAATCACCAATGGCTTCCTATGATGACCCCTTATAAAAGACTGGACATGAGCTGTAAGCAGTCAAGCAAAAGAGGGATTTTATTTCACATTGTCGGAGATTCTCGATCCTCTCCATGCATTTAAAAAACAGACATTATTGGGTACAGGTCTTCCAAATAAATAAATGTGACATGCTTTGGCAATGTATTTACAAATTCATGCCAATGAAGCTCATTGAATTAAATTTGAAATTGAATGGAGAATTAGTTAGTTAAACAAATCAGTGTATGATCTGTCTCTACACTAGATACACAGGGATTAAAATGGTATTCATCTCAGATTTTGGCTTTTCACCATTTTCATCAACAGCCCCTGAATGCTGCTTTCTTAGAGGCTCAAGAAAAAGCAGGTTTGTGTCACTTCTTAGAAATGTGCTCATCCCCTTGTTTAATTGTGTGTTGTTTCAGGTGCTCTGTAATGGCCCAGGGACCTGTGTTCCCCTGTGCGTGGCTGGACTCCTGCTTGGAATTCTGGGAATGAAGAAAGTCCTGATCGTTTATGTTGAAAGCGTTTGCCGAGTAGAGACACTGTCTCTCACAGGGAAGATCATTTACTGTATATCAGACTATTTCTTTGTGCAGTGGCCGTCCTTGAGGAACATATACCCCAAATCCATTTTTCTTGGAAGAATAGTGTGAAAATATGCTCCACATGCTAACAAATTCAGTATTACATATTTTGCAATGATTTTGGTAAAGCTTGGAAATAAATGATTTATTTTTTTATTGTTTACTCATGTTTATAATGATCCCATTTGGCATTCTGTAGATGTGACATTTTGTACAGTATGCAGGATTTAAAACTGAAATATACTTGATTTTGCAAGGGGGGAAAAATGTGTATATTCCTTCTATCCAAAGTGACATACATCAGAGAGTACGTACAACACAAGCAAGGATCTAGAAAAAAAGGGAACAATGTCAGTAAGTGCAAACATTCAAATTTAAGTCTGATTGGACACACAGGTGCTGACAGGCATTGCAGAGGCAAAGCACAACATTGACGGCAGTTCTTGAGCGCTCTAATCAGTATAGAAACCATCTTATAATATATCTTATCAATAAAAGTCAATCTTAATATTAATCTTAATCTTATAAATCATCGTTATCAAACAAAATCATCGTCACAACTGTCATCAGCATCAATAATATGGAGACCATCATCATTAAGTTAGTTAGTAGGTATTCATGAAAGAGCTGGGTCTTTAGCTTTTTCTTAAAAGTCCAGAGGGACTCTGCAGATCGGATGGAGTTTGGAAGTTCATTCCACCACCGGATGGCGACAGAGGACAAGAGTTTAGTCAGCGTCTTAGGACCCTGTTGTGAAGGTTGGATCAGACACCTTTCATTGGCAGAGCGTAGTGGGCGGGAGGGAGTGTAGACCTGGACGATAGAGTTTAGGTCAGGAGGAGCCGTTTTTGTCGCTGTCTTGTAAGCGACCAGCAGAGTTTTAAATTTACAGATACGAGCAGTAACTGGGATAGTACATGTAGGAAGCCCAAACAAAGCCTGACAACGACCCACTATCAATATCTACTCAAAGCAAGTTTCGATTCACCCACCGAGCTGACAACACCTTCCTAGTTTTCAGATCAGAGCTTGTTGTTGCCTCTTAATCAGTAAATTATACTTTAGGATAGTTATTTATAAGTCTGTCCAACTCTGTGCTCCTTACTCTTACAGTTCTCAGGGTAAGTTGTTGAAGTTTTTTAGGCCTTGTTTTAGTTGCCCACCATTAGGCCAAATATCCCAACTACAAGCTGACAATCACTTTATCTAATGTCCTTTAGCATTCCTCTTGAAACAGTTCTTGGTACATGAAGAACAAATGGAAAATATGTGTACAGTACCAGTCAAATGTTTGGACACCTGATTGAAATGCATGTTATTATCTGAAAGACATTTTGATCTGAAGGCTTATGCTTAAATGTTTGACATGTGTTTCTTATATAAATAGAAATAGTGAAGTTTGTGCCTACGTACCTGTATGTATGCATTTCTTTAAGTGAAATCAAATGTTTCATTTTTATTGTTTTGATATCTACTATTATTCTAAAATGTGGAAGATAGTAAAAGTAAAGGAAACCCTTAGTCGTGCCATAGATACAGCTTACAGTAGCTATATTGTAATATACTGAATTATTGATCTTACTGTTTCTGTTGTGTGTCTAAACGTTTGACTGGTAGTGAAGGCCTTGTATGTTTGTATGGTAAAATGAGTTCAGTTTTGACCAATCATTCCATGATATGCTCAAACGCTCTTTGCTGCATGTACAAGAGCTGTGGTTATCCTTGTACACAAAGAAATATCTATATCGCTTTGAGACTACTTGTTTTGGAAAAATAAAGCTACCCATGGGGTCCAAAAGGTCAGGACATCCTGTCCCAAATTTTCTAACTTGGCAACAGAATTTAAAGTGTCACGGGGCAAGGGCATCCCACTATGTGCCATTTTGGGTGAATGTGAAGTGTAATTCTGAATCTCACTGACTTAAACTGCTGAAGAGACTATATTTAGTTTTCCACTCTTCAGAGGCGTGTGTTGCACCGACCAAACCTCTTATCTGTTGTCTTTGTTAATGTCAACTCTTCTTTTTTTTTTTAAACTGAAATGTCACTTGGAAAAAATGTCAAATGCACGAAAGTACAGCCATCTCATGAGCAACACTATGACCTACCTGTAGCAGTAGCCTACGTATTAACCTGACTCCAGATACTTGCAGAGAGACCTACTTGAGGGGCTTCAAAAGTGGGAGTATCAGAAAAACAAAAGTGGGAGTATCCCTCTACAATTCGGCTGCTCTGATTGGTCGTCGCGGCTACGTCAACAATCCGTCGACATTTTCCTTTTTTTTCTTTTTTTGCAATCTGTGCTTGTCCCACAGAAAGTCGACCCGCTGGTACTGTTACTGTGAACCATCACGGAATATTTTCTCTTGGGCTGGACGTTGAAGGAGCAGAAGCAACCACTGTCTGGAAGGACGTTTCTGCCGCAGCATCCTGATACATTTTAACTGAGGATATTTATTTGGAGTTTATCAACATCAACAACAACAACAAAAAAAACAAGAAGATGACACATTTTAACAAGGGGCCAGCCTACGGATTGTCTGCTGAAGTGAGAAGCAAAGTAAGTGTTTCAGTCGCCCCACTGGGTTTTTATCTTTGTGACAAAGTAGAAACATCCGTAGGAAATGTTCCCGAGTTCACAAAAGCTTCGTCAACACATTTGTATCCAAACTGGCTTCCTAACCAAGCTTTGTCCCGTTACTCCTCTTTCTCCTTCCCTTTGATAAAAGTAACACCGAAAACAAGGCTCGCCGTTAAAGTTGCAGTCACATTTTAACATTTATGTGGCAAACAATGTCCTAAGTTTCTGCTGTACGGATTTTTGGAAACCTGTTGTCAAGTTAAGTGTTATTTTAGACCACGTTGAAGAATTTAGGATTTAGGCCGATTTAAGGGAAAGTGTCCCTGCGATTTCCCAAAATGTGCATCAACAAAGGAATGAGAAAGGAATGCGTGTCAAGTTTAACTTTTTGGTAAAGTGTGAATCATTTACATGGAGGGTTGTTCGTGGTCTAGCCTATGCAACAAAAAAAATGCAGCCTCGAAGGTTTTCCGCCAAACATTAAGTAAAGTAGGCTACGTCTGTCAAATGGTAAACTTTGGGGGTGCAAAGGGAGTTCCGATAAGTCCGACATTACTGTTTCCCCTCAATAGTGGGGGAAATATTCCTTCCTTTTTGTCCCACTGCTGGATTCAAGCGCTAGAGAGAAATCTTGAAATGCACTCCTGCAGGCAATACTGAACAGTAAAGTTATGTCGATGATATAGTCTATGGCTACTGTTCAATTTTTAATTGTAGAGAGAATCTTAAATAGCCTATGAAAAAACTGCATTCCTTGTTTAGGGAGGAGCCCGATATCAGAAAGGGGTTGACTATCTCCTGTCAAATGGATAGCCTTAAAAACCTGTAATAACTTTGTTTGCAAAGCGCTTTTAGGAATAATACAAAGGAGACTTTTAAAATCAGAGCATAGACAAGTATTTGAAATGAAATCAAACATATATGAGGCCTGGTATACCTATATGTCCAATTTGATGTGATGGCAGCACTGTGTTTATAAAAAGAAATGGTACAGTTGCATCACTTTTTCTTTTGACAACACTTTTTGGGCGTTTTGGGAACTTGGAATCTGAGGAGACCAATTTCTGTCATTTTTGAAAATGGAGTAATTTACATCCTTAATGTAGGATTTCAGCTGTTCTACAGTTCAGGGTCTCCTTTGTGTCATTTAACATAATGCTAAAAATGCTCTTAACATTTGGATGGTGTGGGTGAAGGTCAGTTTTATCAGTCTCTTTTACTACAGAGCCATTTCTTGTTGAAGGCCTTCCCCCGAAAAAGAATCTTGCTATTTCATATCATATTTTGCTCCAAATGTGAAGGATACCATGTGCACTAATGCACACTATCAAGGATGCTGACCTTTCAAACAAGCTGGATGGTCCCTTTCACCTCAGCCCGAGAAGGCAACGCTGTTTCTAGATCTTTTGTTTAATATTGTTTTCTCTTTGCATGGTCAAGTTTCAGCTGGCGCTGGTGAAAGCAGCGATGAACTATGCTCAAAGACTAAACTAGTTTTGAAGTGTTCCTGAGCCCATGTGGTGATTCCCACTAGAGAATTGTGTCTGCTTTTGATGCAGGGACATTTGAGGAAGATCACAGACTCCCAATATTCGTTTGTGGCCTTGCTCCCTGCTTACAGATATTTATTCATATTTTCTTAAAATGTTAATGATAATATGTACAGAAGGCAATGACATTCATTTGAATCTATTTATTTAATCTAACATAGTTTTCAATACAGATCATTAAACTGATGTCCCTAGTTGGAACTCCCTAGAACTGTGAGATATTGTGTGTTTTTAAGCATCTGACCTTTGTTCCAGTCTTTTGTTGCTACCATCACAACTTTTTGGAAATATGTTGTCAGCATCAAATTTAAATTAAGCATATACATTTCCCAAAAAATAATGACATATCTCAGTTTGTCTTTGCGCTACTTTCAATCAAATGTGGGTTTCAGTGTTTTGCAAGTCAACACATTTTGTTGTGATTTACATCTTACATAACGGCCCAACTGTTTTAAGAATTGGGGTTGTAAGTAGGGCCCGACCGATATGGGATGTCTGATCCCGATACCGATATGAGGGAGAGAAAAAAAATCTACCAAACACTAGGGATGTAACGATTCACGATGCAATTCTCTCATGATTCATTTTACAAAATGAGACTGTAGATAAATGATGAGTGAAAAAGATTCAAACCCACTTGTCAGTGTGGTTTGTCCTTTTAATGTTTTTTTTGTCTCAACGAGGGGAGGTGATTGGAGCTTCTCATAGTGGTGTTGATTAAATGCTGCATCATAATAATTCAATGTTTGTCAAAGCAACGTCACGCCTCAAAATCTCAGCAAAATATTGGAAGGAATGTGTAAAATGAAAAGATGGGTCTACCAGATTCTTTTTGATGTTGCAGGCCCTTCTCGAGGGCTGAACAACAGACTGTATATTGATTTCATCTCTGTTTTCCATGATTTTAAGGCAAATAAGAAGCATTACAACAGAAATCTGTTTAAATTATTATAGACCGATGATGACTGTTGGAGTTTGAGGAAATGTCTCGAGAATGAAATCATCCCACAGTCTGCCGTCAAGTT